CTGCTTATCGCCCAACGGCTATTTATTTACAAACACCCGTCCGGCCGCTCAGTGCATCACTAGATCTCGAGCAGTTCATATCGATAAAAACTACAGTAACTATTAAACATCATGATGAAGTGCCTATGCGTTTTGTTCTTCGTGGCGGTAGCCCAGGGCTTCGTGACCAGGGTAGCGAGGGGGGTCGAGGGTGTCCCAGCGCCGACGCTGCTTCGCATCACTTTGGTGGATGACCCCAAAATGGGATTCGTTGTCGACTGGACGCCCGTGGCGTCAAATGATGCTGCAGACCCCATTCTTGGTTACAAGGTATGTAAATGCCAACGTGAGACTGTGAACTCCGTCAGTTTATAACATAACACGTGAGATTGTAAACTAACCATGGGTTAAGTAAAGTTAGATTGTAATGTAACTACGTCAGATTATAATTTGACGGAATTCACAATTTTACGGTGACATAAACACTTTATAATCACATCAAACTCTCAGAAAAAGATTTTTTTAAACTGATTGGAAACTATTAGCTACCTACTGAAGACAAAGACTAAAATCCATTGAGAGATTTCATTTATTATTGGAGGTAAATCTGCTGACTACCGTAAACATAAAATCGTGCGTGATATTTCTGACTGTCTCATCTAATGAATCACCTAAGACGAATTTCTTCTAATTTCTCATGTCACAGTTTACTAAGTATGTTATTCTTTTTCTTTGCCTTATCTTAACGGAAAGAAGAATTTTAATTCTGAGAGTTTTGACCTACATAGATAACCAAAAAAATTAGTTTACATAACATGTTCATATTTTCTCTGTTATGTATACTTTGGTTTCAAAACATATGTTAATTGTTTCAGATGAAAGTATGGGAGCAGCCTAAGATCAAGACATACAAATATGAAACTATCGACGGTGTCAAAACTTTGGTAGAGGAATACGCTCCTGGCAAGGTAAGATAAATTATCTTTGGAGATATAATAATCGTCCATTACGTTCTCGTAATCATTCTGTTGTTCAGAGAATTCTATGTGTTTCTAACATTTACGTTGAGTAAGTCTTCCATAAGAGATTTGTGCCAGAAAGAAACGTAGAATTTATTTTTAGGAATTCTGTGATGGTCTGTATTTTATTTTAGTACATGGCTGGACTTTTGAAGTAGAATTTTAGGGCTTCCCTTAATACATACAATAATGTTTCAGGCTGTAGTTGAAAAATAAAAAATACAATTATTAATGAGAGCAAAATAAGTCGAAGATTTAAATATTTTTTCAATTCTCGAAAAACATAAGTAAATTATTTATTAAATAATTATTCCACACGCGCTGTTGTGCATTTCACTTTTAATCTACAACAACTATATAAATATGCGTGTGTTTGTATGACCTTAAACCCGCTGCATCAACACAATAATATCACGTTACAATGTAAACATTCTAATTAACATAATTAGTTAAAGTTCATTAACAACAAACATTATTCTAATCGGATTTACAATGTAATACAATATAACATGTTTCATGCTACTAAACCGTCGATAAACAATATTGCTGTCTTAATAAACCTATGAGCATAGATCCTCAATATTCATTACCCATACTACAGAAAAAGTTATAGTACCAAGGTACCAATACCCACTGGCCCATTTATTGTCCCGAAGCAGTGATAGGGTTAATATTGGGACGTGTAAAAGTGCTTTTTAAAAGCTTATTTGCAAAAATAAATTAGTTTTATGAGTTTTTTTATGGGGTTTTACTCTGCTTACTGATATTGTCTCGTAGTTCTAAACAATATGGTCAAAAAGATAGGATGGTACTTACAAGAAGATTAGGTTTGAAATGGGACAATTAGGTTAATGCCATATTCAATATTTTGTTAATTAATTTGTAAACTGTAATTTTACGTACTGTGTCTTTAACGTCCCCATGGAGGGCAACTAGTAGAGAAAGCATTTTGGTATTAAGTCTTCGATTTTTAAAACCTAACTTTAGGCTGGGTTGCACCATCNTGAAAAGTGCATCGGTTGCGGGCGCGTCCCATTTAATATCAAATAATTTCGTTTACTGGTTATTTACGAACACAAACTTCAATCAATTTGATAGTCAATAAACATATCTAGATATTTTTTAGGTAACGTGTTTTCTGGAACCTGTTATTATGTCTTTTATGAAAGAAAGAAAAATAGGGCGGTAATAGAATACAAATTTTGGGGGGTCGTTAATAGGCGCACTTACGTTAATACTCATATCTAATGCCAATCAAGGTTAGATAATCTGTATAAATCCATAATTATTTTTAAGTTAGTTCGCCCTAAATAAATCAACCTGTGTTTAATTACGATATGACACTCAAAACTCCGTTCAAACTCACATCACGAATAGATACCGTCCTTTGATAGGTACATACCGACATACCGAATTCAACCAATTAAAAGTTTGAACCAACATGAGTTTTCAGTCGTTTCCTATTCCGAACTCTAATCATATTTTAGAAGGCAAATGAAAATAGGATACTGAATACCTACATCCTGAAAAAAAATCTCTAAGATTGAACTAACTGATCTTTCCCCGTGTCAAACCCGAGAATTGAACCCATTGGACTGAGAGAATAACCAGGTTTTGGTACCTACATTTCAATAAATTTATTTTCATAAGCCGCTTACAGCGTTACGCTAAGTTTCCTCAGCAAAAACTACACAAAATAGTTTGTCTATCGCGTCACTTGGATTACAAGGATTCAGTATGACAAGGCACGCGTCACCTGGCCTTAGGGATATAGGATAGAACGACAGTGAATGACACTTCAAGTGGACCCACCGATGGAGCAAAAAGGGACTCAGATGAACAGAAAACAATCCGTAATCCAACAGGATAGTTAAACATATTATTATTGTATTTGACGGCCGTGTGCTCTGGTCGATAGGATAGGACTTAAACGCTACAGTTGTGGATTTGAATCCCGCAGGTGACAAAATAATGTTAGAGTGAGATGTGGGAGAATTAATTTGATGATTGTAGTTCAAGTTTAACCAAATTTATCCATTTAATTTGTTAGTCCGTGATCTAGTGTTGCCATTGTACTAGATTAGGCAGGTATGCTTGATTGGGGCTACGTAGGTGTTTATTTAGAATAATTATTTTATTTACCCTATTCCCTCTGGTAAATTAGAGAGGATCGTCCTCCAGCGGCAGGGGACTAATGCCCGTTTTCACCAAAAATCCCTAATTTTTAAGTGACCCCTACGAAAACAAAATTCCTATTATGTGTTACCATAGGGGTCACTTAAAAATTAGGGATTTGTGGTAAAAACGGGCCCAAATAACCTCATTATGATGGTGATAATAATGATTATTTGCCTATTTATTGTCTTCTAATAGTATATTTACTTTTAATAAAACTAATATAATTAAATTATTATCATTAATTGCCGTGAGAAAATGATGATGACTACCTACTGCAAACCTAAAACTGGACTTAACTACTAGCTCTTTTAAGAAAGCTATTGCTCTCTATTATAATTACTGTTTAGTTTATCAAAAACAAAGTAAAATATCAAACAAATATTAAATAATTGTTATGAGCCGTGGGAAAATTATGATAAATACCTTACTGCAAACCTAAAACTGGACTTGACAACCAATTCACTTAAGAAAGTGCTGAAAAAAGGAAAACTATTAATAGCTAACTACAAAACAACAATACTTACTTACTAACTTTATCTATGGATTTATCAATAGCAGCCGTTATTGGGTCAAGTTACAAAATTTTAATAAACTTTCTTATCGTCTACCTACAGTGAATGGTACGAGTATTATTATCCTACAGCTACTTACAAGCTTTTATTTTACTCAAAATCTGAAATAATAGCATAATTTTAGTTTCCAATTACTTATTAGAATTTATTGTCTATAAATTAACGATCTAACCCAACTTCGTACACAATGATAGCAGAGCAATTTAAATTTTTCGCTAACCTCTGAAATAATTATTCAAATTGTATAAAAATCCTACAATAGTTTTTAAGCGAAACAAGCAAACTTCGACGGAATTTGTTGTTTAAATAATACGTAAGGATTACTACGAGTAGAACTAAACACGTCACACGTCACTAGGTGAAAAATGTTTGTCGTTAACTTGGTTTCTATGAATACCTCAATGCTTACGTTATTGTTATCTATTTTGAATTCTACTATACTCTAACAATAGGCACTTTACTTAGCACTGAGACCATTAATGGTGATTTTTTTACATGATTACTAAATTATTGCGAAAATACATAAAATTCGTTTTTATGCCTAGGTATTGGAGTTCATTGTTGAAGATATTGCAAGCTATTCTTATCTTATAGTCTTAAACTACAAAGATGCATGTATTAGGTATGCGTGTGCTATCTCGAAGTTCAAAGGTAAGATAAGGTATGTTAGTCACTATCCGCTAGTATTACACAAGAATGATACATCTTATTTTGTATGATTTCTACTAAAAGAAATGCAAAGAGCATAACTATTTCAATATTATTAAAATAAATTATGTAGTAATTATTTTTACATGCCTCCTAATAGTAATATTTTATTTTATATTAAAACACAAATTGGTATAAGTATTGTATTAAACATTCATGGTCACAAACATAATTATTATTATTGACGGGATTGCTACCATGTATCTTAATTTTGATATGACATGGTAGCAATCCCATCAATAATAATTATTAACACATTAGTAAAAAATCACCTATCAATATCTCCCAATTTATTGCAAACAATATATGTATTAATTATAGAGTGATGATGATGATTTTCTGTCGCCCCAAACTCTATAACACGAGACGACGATTACCATACGGGTCTACGACCCATTAAATGAGAAAATACCCACAGACGTATGAATGTAAACGTCAAAATCGACATGCCATTCAACCTTTAGCCCTAATCTAATTAGCCAACAATTGACTCACAACTGACTCACCAATCAGGACTGCTTATCGCCCAACGGCTATTTATTTACAAACAACCGTCCGGCCGCTCAGTGCATCACTAGATCTCGAGCAGTTCATATCGATAAAACTACATTAAATATTAAACATCATGATGAAGTGCTTATGCGTTTTGTTCTTCGTGGCGGTAGCCCAGGGCTTCGTGACCAGGGTAGCGAGGGGGGTCGAGGGTGTCCCAGCGCCGACGCTGCTTCGCATCACTTTGGTGGATGACCCCAAAATGGGATTCGTTGTCGACTGGACGCCCGTGGCGTCAAATGATGCTGCAGACCCCATTCTTGGTTACAAGGTATGTAAATGTCAACGTGATTGTGAACTCCGTCAGTTTATAATATAACGCGTGAGATTGTAAACTAACAGTGGGTTAGGTAAGGTAAGATTGTAATCTAAATACGTCAGATTATAATCAGACGGAATTTACAGTGACATTTAAACACGCTAATATCACATCAAATTCCTAAAAAAAAATTTTTTAAACTGATTTGAACCCATATGATTGAAGACATTGAGACCCATTGAGATATTTCATTTATTGCGCGAGATAAATCTGCTGACTAAGTACCGTAAACATAAAATTGTACGTGATATTTCTGACTGTCACATCTAATGAATCACCTAAGATGATTTCTTTTAATTTCTTATGTCACACGTTTACTAAGTATGTTATTCTTTTTCTTTGCCTTATCTTAACGGAAAGAAGAATTTTAATTCTGAGAATTTTGACCTACATATTAGGCGAAGAAGATAAATTACATGTTCATATTTTCTCTGTTATACTTTGGTTTCAAAAAATATATTAATTGTTTCAGATGAAAGTATGGGAGCAGCCTAAGATCAAGACGTACAAATATGAAACTATCAACGGTGTCAAAACTTTGGTAGAGGAATACGCTCCTGGCAAGGTAAGATAATTATTTTTAGAGATAAAATAACCATCGTCCATAGGTGCTCGAAATCAGTCTGCATTGTTCAGAGAATTCTATATGTTTTTAACATTTACATTGAGTAAGTCTTATTAGGTACAATAATAGTTCTCCATGATTATACACATTGCCACAAAGAAACGTAGAAATTATTTTTAGGAACTTTGTGATCGTCTGTATTTTATTGCAGAACATGACTGAATTTTGAAATTCAGTTTTAAGCCTTCCCTTTAGAATAATGTTTCAGGTTGTAGTTGCAAAATATAAATACAAATGAGAGCAAATAGTTGAACTAAAGTTTTACAGGATTTTCTCCATTCTCAAAGAAGATAAATTATTATGCCAGATAATAATTTTATTCTACACGCGCTGTTGTGCATTTTACTTTTAATTTACAATAACTATTTATTATGTGTGTATGTTTACTTTAGATGACCTTAAACCCGCTGCATCAACACAATAATATCACGTTACAATGTAAACATTCTAATTAACATAATTAGCTAAAGTTCATTAACAACAAACATTATTCTAATCGGATTTACAATGTAATACAATATAACATGTTTAATGCTACTAAATCGTCGATAAACAATATTAATGTCATAATAAACCTATGAGCATAGATCCTCAATAAATATGCATTACCAATACCTACTCTGCTTACTGATATTAGGTATATCATAGTTCTTTCCATATTAAACAATAATTATGATAAAAAGATAGGATGGTACTTATAAGAAGATTAGGTTTTAAATGAAACAATTAGGTTAATGCCATATTCAATATTTTGTTATTTAATTTGTAAACTGTAATTACGTACTGTGTCTTTAACATCCCCATGGATGGCTACTAGTAGAGAAAACATATTGATATTAAGACCCAGTTTTTTTTATTCATAGCTAAAATTAAATATTAACAAAATGTAAACTAATAATTAAAAAATGTACGAGTACTAAAAGTCAAGCTAACCATTGTTCGAAAAACATTTTTTTCTGATATTTAACCACTTGTCATGTGATATCTGTCAAATTTGACTATTGGTTTTTTATCTATACTTATAATAAATCTGAAGAGAGGTCAATTCTGTACATGATATTTCATTTTCAAAATAACTATCAGGGGGTGATTAGTGATTGATACTGATGCCAAAAATGCAATCAGTAAAATTTTTGTCTGTCTGTCTGTCATATAGAAACAAAAACCGCTCGACGGATTTTAATGAAACTTGGTACAATTATTTTTCATACTACTGGGCAGGTTATAGTATACTTAGGAATTTCCACGGGAACGGGAATTAGCGGGAAAATCCTTTTGTATGAAAAATCTAAACCGCTTAAGTTAGACGCTTGAAAGGCATGCAGGTACCTTAGTAAACTTAAAGCTTAGTTACAACAGGATATTGCAAAATTCCCACGGGAATCGGAGTTAGCGGGAAAAAACATTTGTATGAAAAAATCTAAACCGCGTAAGATAGATGAAGGGGGTAAAACGGGATCCACGTGTACGAAGTCGCGGGCGGCCGCTAGTTTTAACTACGAATCAAAAAACACATGGGTGTTAGGCCCAGTTTAAGTTTTTTGAAGCACAACGAACGAACGATGCTTGCTTAATTGAAGCGGCAAATCGAACGCACAGCGTTGAATAGAGCTTTGTGATTGGTTCGTGTGTCATCCTGTGCGTCCACGCGCACTGTGAGACCTCATAGTAATATTTGTGAATACGGGCATAATGTCTGTCATCGATAGTTTAAAACGTAACAAGTTTAATTGCTGAAGATTACATAATACCTAGATTGACAAAAATCCCGTTTGTTTTTAACACAAAATAAACAAAACATTCCATTTTGTTTCCAGTTCCCAGCCAACAACGAAGTCCCCACAAACAAGCCTAGGGAAATCGTCATCCAAGGAGACAAGACCTCCGCCAGGTTTGAGGGCATCGAGACCGGCGTCTTATACGAAGTGAGGGTCCAGGCCTTCACCAAGAACATACAAGGACCCTTATCTCAACCCATGAGAGTCGAGATTAACAATGACAACGACAGGAAAAAAGATGTGTACACCGTAGCTTAATTTCTTGATAGGGTGGTTGTCGACGGTGGTGTTTAGTATTTAAATTAAATAAGTAAGTAAGTTATGTATGTTTAAAAAACTTTGATATCAACTTAAAATGTAATACCAATGTTATTGTAGTAAATAAATACAGGAGTCTTGAGAAACTCGATTGTTAAAGATAAAAAAATTAACGATAGTTTTGTTATGAAAATGTGTAAAGTAAAACCTATTTGCTATTTCTTAAACAAAATTACTGGTTCTGTAAAATTATCAGCAGCTTCATTAATAGGTCATGTAAGAAAATAATAGAGTACCTACATATTAATATTGGAGTAAGTACCTACAATAAATGGTATTAAACCTAAACGATTTTTTAATTTCTCTTGAATTACGGGTTACCTTAACCATTTTACTATTACCTCCTATTATCTGCTCCCAAACTTCTGTAACATTAATTATTTCAATAATTAATAAACCAACACAAGCGGCCACATTTTAATGAGCAACTTGAAAAATGAGATTCGAAAATTTTATATCAAACAAAAGCAATAGATAAGTCCTTTTACAATAAAATAATATTTAAAAAGGAAAGATGTAAAAGCAAAGACGCAAAAACAAATCATGAATATGAACGGCAAAATTGACATGACAATCAACCTTTTGCCCTAATCCAATTACCCATCAATTCTCTGACTCGCCAATCAGAGCTCTCACAACGAATACACGACTGTCAGACCACTCAGTGCATCTCTCGACCTCGTACAGGTCGATTGACTGAAGAAACCACCGACCAAACACTAACAAAACAATACAGGACTATTCCCACCTCTGGTTCCCACCGCTGCTACTCCTAAACACTATGAAGTGCCTATACTTCTTTTTTTCCGTGGCGGTAACCCAGGGCTTCATGACCAGGGTAACCAGAGAGGTCAAAGACATCCCAGCGCCGACCCTGGCGCACATCGATTTGATAGACGATCCCGGGTTAGCGTTCATAGTGCACTGGACTCCGGTGGCATCCCCTGACGGTGCAGACCCAATACTGGGATACAAGGTATGTAATAAAGGCGCTTTGTTAGCACGTCAGAAAAGTCAAAATTCAACTTAGGTTTCGCGGGGTATTTGTTTCATTTTGGAATAATTTAACGAATGCTAAATAAGGAATATTCAAAAATAAATACTAATGCTGAGTTGCACCATCTAACGTTGAACGTAACTTTGGTGCAACCCAGTCTAAGTAAGAATAGAGCTGTTTTGTAAATAAATTTTTATTTACTACAGGTAAAAGTGTGGGAAAAGCCAAAGGTTTCAACATTCGAGTATGAAGCATTAAGGGGCGCCAAAAGTTTGGTAGACAAACTCGCTCCAGTCAAGGTGAGACTTCACACATAAATCTCAGGTTTAAGGTACCCTGTGATACGAGAACTAGTAATATGTGATTTTATTTTCTCTTTGACCTTTCTTTGTATGAAAAAAAAATTGTACTATTTGATCTGGCAATAAATATTTTCATTTATATTTTCAACTAGCTTTTTCCCTCGGCTTCACTCGCGTGAAATTTAGTTAATCACATATCGTCATAAATTATAGCCTATATGTTATTCTGGGCTATAAACAATAATACTGTAAAGTTTCATCAAAATCCGTTCCGTAGTTTTTGCATGAAAGAGTAACAAACATTCATCCAGACATCCAAACTTTCGCATTTATAATATTAGTAGGATTATGAATTTAAACTTGTCCCCAGTTGTTAGACTCGAGCCAAGAACCCAAGTTCAAGCCAAGGGAGATCGTGGTCAACGGAGCTGACAAGTCCACCGCCATGTGCGAGGGCATTGAGACCGAGACCCCGTACGAGGTCCGGGTGCAGGCCTTCAGCAGGGCCGGGGACGGAGCCCTGTCGCAGCCGCTGATGGTGCAGATCTGCAAGGACTGCGACAGTAAGAGGAATTTGTATACGGTTGTGTAAGAACGTGATTGTATTTGGTAGTATTTTCGTGGTTTCAGGTGTATCGTGAAATAAATGAGTTTTCAGAAAATATGTATTTTCTTTTACAAAGAAATACGAGTACCTATATTAATGAGAACATTGGAAATGAAAAGATCTCTTACTAATTCAATAAACACAATAGAAGAAAATATCAAGTCCTTCTGACTTGACATAAACAGAGCTGACATGTCCACCGCCATGTGCAAGGGTATAGAGACCGAGACCCCGTACGAGGTCCGGGTGCAGGCCTTCAGCAGGGCCGGGGACGGAGCCCTGTCGCAGCCGCTGATGGTGCAGATCTGCAAGGACTGCGACAGTAAGAGGAACCTGTATACTGTGGTGTAAGCGCGTGGCTGTACATTCCGTGAAATAAATGAGTTTTCAGAAAATATGTATTTTGCTTTTACAAAGTAATAAACACAATAGAAGAAAACATCAAGTCCTTCTGACTTGATATAAACGAAGCTGACAAGTCCACCGCCATGTGTGAGGGCATAGAGACCGAGACCCCGTACGAGGTCGTCGATTGTCGTGAAATAAATGATTTTTCAGAAAATATATAAGTACTAATGTAGGTACTTGTAAGAATGAGTATGAGAAGGTTAAGAATAAAAAAATATCCAATAAATTCAACAGTATTCAATTTTAGTGAGAAAGTCATGAATACAAATTAATAAGTATTAGAAATCAAATCATCCTAAAAATAAATGTCCCAACGAACGATTTAAACCCACCCCAGAGGTCAATGTTTTGGTCCCTCAAATTAATAGAAAAAAGTATTACTCAAGTATGTTTATATCAGTTATACGGTACCTACACAATACCTTTGCTAAGTAATTGAAATAAGTAATTATTGTAAAGTCTTCAGTATTTTTCAGATTTACGAGTTTGCTATATCTTAGATTTCTTTAGGTATGTTAAGAACACTTAAGGAGTCTCAAACGGAAAAACATTGTAAGTACAGAGTGTACTACGCATTAGGAAGGGTCCTAAGTCGTGACATCTAGCTCCAATAACAGCCAACGGAAATGCAGATTGCGGGCATTCATCGGTCAATTCGCTGCAATTGAAAATGGCGGCTCATATGGCAGAGATACGGACGTTACATTGTAAACACTTGCATTATGTTTAAATCAAGATAGACAGCTGAATTAATACTGAATGGTGGTGATGTAACTTTGTCGAGAAATTGCAAGTATTAAGTATTTATAGCAGTCGGATAATCGTCAACATTTATGATTTTTATATGCAAATTCACTAAAAAAATAAAAACATTATGTCCAGAGGGATTTCAATATCTCTTCTTCTTTTGTATAAGGCCAGGTATGGGATAATATCTCATCTTGTTTTACTCTTGAAACCACTAACGAAATAGTCAAAAGATGACAGTTCAAAACGTTTTTAACGGAAAAGCAGTGGGATCACAAAGACCAGCGAAGAACGAACTACTGACCCTCGAAACGGCCAGTCCGACACTGACACCAACTCAAAATGATTTCAATTAAATGTGTATTCTAAAATAATTCTTCAAATCTACGAGTATACGTAATAGGTATTTTTCAGAACTTTGCCATTGCCATTCAAAAATAAATACACCCAAATGGCTGTGGTAGTCAGTTGAAATTTAAATAAAAACGTTGTGAAACAATACAGATCGCCTGATTATCTTCGGCAGTAAAAAGTAAGTGAAGTGTGCAGCTCACCTCAGCGAAAATGCAATTAGATACGTCTCGGGAGACTGACGGGGCAGCATCCTAGGCCAGGGGACCGGGGACTAAATAGTAACGTAATATCAACAACCTCATCAAATAACTGTGAGAAAAAAAAATACTTACCGAAAATTAATAATAATTTGTTTTATTAGATTATTACACTAGTCCATACAAACATGGCTGTTTGTATTTACCAGTATATACCTAAGTATGTGTACACCGTTTTCTGATACTCATACTTAGTAACTAAGTTAGTTCAAGCATTGCTTAGTTTGTAGCTATTATGGCGTAGTGTTAAATGTCCAAGGATTGTATATTTACGTCTGAGTAAGTAGGTATGCCTTTTATGTTATTACAATAATAAATGCTCAAAGAAATTCCGTCATAAATAACAGAAATTTTAACGACACGATAAGTATTAATCACAGTTAACACGTGTTAAATATTATAATATGTATAGAGTTCAAGCCTTCATAAGCATAGTCAAATGTACCCTATCCCCGTTTCTAGCCGGTCCCCCGGCCTGATTTACATATAAATTGTAGCTAACTCACGTGGCATCTCTTACTTTTAACTGCTGTAACCGCACCCCGATGGCTCGCTGATGTAGACACGCTGTTAAAATGTTCTTTGTTGCGAGTATCGTCATGTTTTGGGATATATTCTGAACTGATCTTTTAAACTACATGTAAACTCAACTAAATTCACGCCTGTGATTGCTGGAATTTGAATATTTTGACCAATTGTTTGAAATTATTAACGAGTAGATTGAATAAGTACTTGCTCGAGTATCGTTTCAATGGCACCATCGACTTAACTTTTACCGTAACTATAACTTTATCCGGTGTTTTTGTATGGAGTTGGACAGATTCCTGACGTTTACTAAAGTTCAAGTAAAATGGTGCAACCCAGCCTTAGTCTCACACATTTTCCAAACATTTTGTTTTAAATGAAAAGTTGACGGTTCATATTTTTTGTCAGATACAAGATCGATCTTTTAAGAGTTCAGTTTATATTCAATGCGGAAATGCACTTAACAAAAAATGTATCCAATTCCGTTCGTTCCAATATCTTTCTTACCTTACAAAAATTGATAACAAAAGCAAACTCCGTCCCCATTTCGAGTCCTAACAAAACTTTGCCCCATATCAACGGCGAGCTTGTTCGAGATCCATCACAATAATTCGAGTTTTCATAAAAACACGCGCCAAGAAACATATCCGACGTTGGACGGTGATTCAATTTGCCAAATTACATTCCCGACGGTTACCTGCGCTGCGTCTTGTGTCAAAGTGCGTTACGATGGGGACAGAGCAGCGTCAGTAGGACGCCAATGTTGGCTCCAATGTTTGCTAGCCATAGTTTGTGTATTGATTAGACACTACGTAGAAGTACCTAGCTACTTCATATTTCGTGTCGCGTAATGTGTTTATTCAAGCACAAGTTTCATAAAATAAATAAATCACTAAATTAACTATCAGATTTGCTAGATTCGATCGATGAATGAGATATGACGTATGATTAAACAATTTGTTTTGTATTCCCTCCAATTGAAAAAAAAACACGGTTTTTTTATGCACAATAAGTAAGCCAGCAACGATCGCACCTGATGTTAAAAGTGAGATGCAGTTTAGGATGGTACATACCTACCGTGTAAGTGCCTATTCACCCTCGAATAGTAACTAATACAGAAATATCTAGGTAGTTAAAAAGAATAGTACGAGTAAGTTACGTAGGAGCCTACAAAAATAATGCGACATCAATTTTTAATACCTTTTTCATAAAACAGAACATCAGAAGATTTATTTATTTTATTTATTTTGAGATGGTATTTGTAAAAATTAATATAGATAATTGATACGGCCAACGTTTGTATATTTGACCAACATGCTCTGCCAACGTTTGCCGTAGCCACGGAGGGAGCAAATCAAATTGGCGCAAGTGGGGTCAAGCGCCGTCGGAGTGGACAATGGGGCGAAATATGAAATTATTTTTGGCTTGCTTACCAAAAATACACGGATACGCTTTGTGGGATGCTCGTTTATAGTTAGACGAGAAGGTAGAAACTTATCAAAATTGGTTCAGTTGTCAGGTGGTTTATATTTGTTGATAAAATGTGACGTAATCAGACAATATAAGATGTTAAAACATTACGTTATCAAGCATGTTAAGAGTTTTCTAATTTTTTACTAGAATACTTATTTTCCAAATTGTTTTAAGAAACAAAAAAAATATTACTTACGATTAGGAAAGTGGTTACTACAAAATAATCCGTCACTAAGTGTACTCGTAAGTAAATGCCATTTAATGTCATTAATTGCCCTGTAACCATAGAAATCGAACAAACGCGCCCTTAATCCTAAGGATCCCTTAGCAATTAAAAAGAATTCCACCCACAAGGTGGACAGATGACCTTAATAAGGGTTGAAAGAAGGCACTAGATGCAGGTTCCTTCTAATCCACCAATCTAGTAATCATTGGGGGAGGTTTATGTTCAGCAGTGGTCGTCCATTGGCTAAAATGATGATGCNCAGTAAGAGAAACTTGTATGCGGTAGTGTAAGCGCGTGGTTGTTTTGGTGTAGTATTTTGATGGTTTCAAGTGTATCGTGAAATAAATGAGTTTTCAGAAAATACGTATTTTTTTTACAAAGAAATACGAGTATAGTCTGGTCCGGGAGCACGTAGAATTTTGTCCAATGACCCCAAGCTTCCCATCCTTATCGCTCGCGCGTAATTATGTTGATAGCGCGCTCGCACACTCACTGCGGGCGCCCGTCGCACAGTCGCAACAGCAATATAATTACGCGCGAGCGATAAGGATGGGTAGCTTGGGGTCATTGGACAAAATTCTACGTGCTTCCGGACCAGACTATACCTATATTAATGAGAACATTGGAAATTAAAAGATCTACTAATTCAATAAAAACAATAGAAGAAAATATCAAGTCCTTCTGATTTGATATAAACGAAGCTGACAAGTCCGNGCAAGTTCAAAAAATGTGTATTTTCTTTTACAAAGAAATACGAGTACCTATATTAATGAGAACATAAGAAATTAAAAAATCTCCTACTAACTCAATAAACACAATAGAAGAAAATATCAAGTCCTTCTGACTTGATATTAACGAAGCTGACAAGTCCACCGCCATGTGCGAGGGCATAGAGACCGAGACCCCGTACGAGGTCCGGGTGCAGGCCTTCAGCAGGGCCGGGGACGGAGCCCTGTCGCAGCCGCTGATGGTGCAGATCTGCAAGGACTGCGACAGTAAGAGGAATTTATATACTGTGGTGTAAGCACGTGGGGTATATTTGTGGTAGTATTGTCGTGAA